CGGGACAGTGTGGAACTGAACTGAGTCCCTCTGTCAGTAGTGATGGTGGATGGAACACCAAACAGAGAAATCCAGGACTCGACAAAAGCACTGGAAACACATTCGGTAGATGTATCACATAAAGGAACAGCTTGTAGCCAACGTGTAAAACGGTCAACACATGTTAGAGGGTGAATGAAGCCGTTGGAACGAGGCAAAGGGACAACAATATCTACGTGGACGTGCGTCAGGGAGTGAAAATATATCTGGGGTAGTGACTGCTTGAAGATGAACATTACTGGTTGGGCAACTAAGACCATGTTTAGCCCATTGTCTGATGTTTGAACGCATATTGTGCCAGGGGAAGCGGTCGGTAATGAGCTTTACGTTGGAGCGGCTACGCGGGTGTCAAAGACCATAAAATGTTCAGAAATGGGTCGACGGAATGATCGTGGGACAAAGGATCTAGGCTTACCGGTTGAAAAGTCACAGTAAACTCTTATGTCAGCGTTAAGTACGGGCAATTGGGTGAGCTTCAATGACGGGTTTGACTGAAGTTGGACAAGATCAGGATCATTGTGTTGAGCGGCCGCTATTTTCTCCAGGTCGATGGGTGTCGATGACAATTGGTTCATATGAGCGCGGGGTAATGCATCGGCAACCGCGTTGTTAGGACCATCGGTATATTAACAGCAACGTACAGCTGCGTAAGATAGTCAAGATGCCGGGTTTCTGGGGGTTAGTAACGGTCTGAGACAGAACGGAAGGCGTACACCGGTGGCTCGTGGTCTGTCAAGGGTACGAAACGGCGTCCTTCTGAAAGGTGACGGAAAGGTTTCGCAGCCAAGTACATGGCGCGTAGTTCACCACCAAAGATGCTGTCCCTGACCTGAGCAGGTTGAGGCTTCCGTGAGAAAAAAGACAGCTGTCGAAAGGCGTTAACAACTAACTGTTGCAAAACTGCACTGACAGCGGAACTTGAAGCATCCGTCTTAAGGCCAAGTGCAGCGTCCTCGGTGAGGTTTAAGTGATGGGGAGGGATAACCTCACTAAACTTCTGATTGACAGCCGTGAAAGCGGCTTCAACTTCCGAGGTTATCGTTAACATCTTTGAGTTTTCTTTCAGTAGGTGGGCAAGCGGACGTATTGACGCAGCACAGTTAGGAAAGAAGCTGCCGTAGTAGTTGATCATACCGAAAAGTCGGCGTAGACTTCGGACAGATTGGGGCATCGGATGGTCGAGGACGGCTTGAGGTTTGTGGGGAGGGGTTTAATATCTTCACCATCGCTTTTGTGACCGAGAAATTTGACGGCGGGCGGACAAAATTTGCACTTGTCCAGGTTGATGGTTATACCATGGTTTTCAAAGCGTTCGAGAACCATTCGAAGTTGTGATAAATGCTTGTCAGGTGTAGAACTTGCGATCACTTCCGGGCTTCGGACGGTTTCCACCGGAATACATAGGCGAAGGATTGAAGAAGCGTTCCTTTGCGCGGTTGAAGACTACGTGGGGGTGTTCCAACCCAGGGAACACGTACCTAAAATGAGTGAACAACAATATCTTTAGACGGGACATGATGTCTTGTGCTTTCCACGCATTTTGTGGTTACCGTGTTCGCCTTCATTGTTTCCCAGGCACAGGCCAATGCGCCGTCCTTCGGCCTGACAAGTATCGCTGCAGCTAAGACTCATCACATTTGCTGCCTCTGCCCTGTCATGCACCCTTGATAAACAGTCACAGGTACAATTTGTTCGCCATTAGCACTTGTCGTTCAGAACCACCACGGTATGCGCTGCCATTTGCCGTCACACTTCACGATACCAGTGAACCTGCCACCAACTACCGCCGCCGCCGCGTGATGCAACATTGCTACCTAGCCTCTAGCCATACAGTAGCCAACTGGTACCTATATATCCGGCGTCAGTGAATTCGAGGCAAAGGTGAAATGCAATTGCCAGTATGATTTACCTTTGACAGCCGGAGCACACTTTCACCGCACTCTACCGTCCTCATTCTCGCCCTTGCTCTCCTCTCTGACGTACGTGCATTGGCCGTCTCCTGCCATAGCACCGGGTCCGGTCTCTTTTCGCTTTCCTGTTCGTCTACATTTCACATACTTTAGAGAACGGAGCAACGGCCATTTTCAGGGCCACCCCCTGTCTCTGTGTCTCGTCGTCCCACAACGCACTGGAAGTTTGCAAATCCTGCAAATTTCTTGCGGCGCACTACAAGCGCACAGGTCAGTGGGTGGTTTCGTAATCTTCAGACAAAATATGGTGAAATTTCTACATCAAGACATTTGACGCAACACTGTAATGCTATGAGAACAACCTGCTCATCCAATAATAACGTGGTAAGTTCACCTTATGCAGACATATCCAAGCAAGAACCTGCCGCCGTACCTATCCATTATTCGTAAACCTAGTTTCTCTAGTACAAGCCGCCTTAGCAATGTTCACCTCGTTGCGCCCTCCCGTCCTTCGGTAACAATATTTGATGTATCATTTTTTAGTATTCTCACTTGGTTGGTGACGAACGTTTGCAATGCTCCCCACTTAGAAGAGAATATTTGCATATGGTTTGCGCGTCCCGTCTGCCCACCTGATAAAGTTATACACCACCCTACGAACTCAGTATGTGCCTAAGTACAACGCAGCCATGCGCATCGCTTAGCATTATACTGACAATACCTTGCGCCAAAGATTGACCTCCGATTCATGACGTCTTGTTACTCGAACAAGCAACGGGTTAACTTATACATTAATATACAAGTAACGCAAAACCCACTGCATCTTCAGTTCAGGTTAATGCACACAGAGCACTACGTCTTATTTATCTTTTGCGCGAACCTTTACAGAATTCCATTTTCCCTACTTCGCGGAACACAACTGATTAACTCCGTAACCATTACCGAAGCGATATTCTTCAGACCATTTTAAATGTTTCAAGAAACCAGTTTTCCGCAGCGAACCTCTTAACCTTCGAAATCAGTGATTATGGACTTCCATGCTTACATGCCATCACTGCAGGCAAAATCATATTTCCTTGCGTGAATGAAGGCCATGGCATTTAGCAAACCCAGAGAGAAAAGTCTGATGATCCCTATAAATATCCGCCGCAGACCAAGCTCTTATATATAACATTCCTCTGCGTCCACAAATTTGTGCAACATAACGATTTGTAATGAAGCATAACTCTCATCTTCTGCAACATAAGAATCCACAAATCTATTCAATCTACCATTTCATATGTATTATGCATAAAGCATGCAGGAATAGATAGAATTACACAGAAACATTAACGTACACATTTACTACTGATGAGCTTACCAACATCCCATACTAACTTCAATAACCTGTAGATGCTTACATACCCAGGCATATAAGTACTATATACAAATTTATATACCTTTCCATTTATGTAGATAAATATGTTATTATAAATATATATGTACGTATACTATATATATATATATATGTAGAAACTATATGCCTATAAATGTCATCATCTATAGGTCAATGC